CAGTATTCATTGCAATTTTTAGTTAATAAAATAGTAAATGAGATACACGTATATGTGCTGAATATAAATTGAACCTTTAAGCTTCTTTTACATTTTTATGGTTAAAATATTACTATTTCTCATAACATTTATGTATAACATTTCCTTTTATCTTGAAGTTTACATAAATTTATTGTATTTTTCTTGCGGTCACGAAACATTCTTGAATCCAAAAATAAGAGGTACTGTCTCTACAGTGCTATAACAGATTTATTCGTTTTGGTTAAATATATTGTTCGAGGTTGAAAAATACTCGGCGAGAAATTTATGGAAATATCAATGCGCAGCATTTCTGTCAGCGCGCTTACCGCGCCGCGTTTGTATGCCGTTGGATGCGCTTGAACGGATTGGAAACAAGAGCAAGAGCGACTTCCTGCCGACTGTAAATATCAGATTGATAAATCTACATGGAAGTGCGGATGACTGTGCATACAAATCGTCAGCTATTGGTCTTGCGGCATGAGCAAAGCGTGGTTGGTGCGCTCAAAACGAGATAACGCGCAGGAAAATAAGCATGGCTTCGAAAGATCAAATGTTGTTTCATGATAATTTAATTAGATTTGCATCCCATTATTTTTCGAAAAACTTACACGATTGTTCATAGTACACGTACACGTTAAAAATTACCGAAAAAATTTGAGGAGAAAAATGAGATACTGCTACAAAGATAACTTATCGTTATCTTTGTTGCAGTATCTTATTTTTATGGACGTAAGGGGATTGGGAGTCTTTTTGCTGTCTCTCTTCCCATGCACTGATACGGATGCAACCGAATTTCTTAGTACGTAGCTTCGCACATCTGTCGTTCGTGGGGTCGTATCGGTGCCTCTAATCTGTTCATTAGTCCTAATATACCGAGCAGCTACACGTACTCTCCATCAGATATTACTCACCGCGTCACTCAGCTTCAGTTTTACGACCTCGAAAATGAACCGCTCGTTCTAGAGTAATCGGTGGCTACATCTATTTTATTTTTTAACCGTGGTAAAAAAAAGCATTTGATATTTAAGTTCCGATAAACGTCTGATACTTAAACAAATTTTATCCGTTAGATACGTATCTGATACACTATTATTTTAAATACAAAAGGATTAGAAGTTAAACTTGTTGTCTTGATTTAAACTCCTCTTGCTTTTCTTGTTTAAATTATATACTATAAATACAGTAGTTCAGGTTGTACGTACTTAAGAATGAATTTGCTTCCGCCGATTAATTGCATCATGTCGATGGTATAGAAAGTAATATGTTTGACATGAAAAACTTAGTTACCGGAAACAATCGAGAAGTTCGGCAGAGATAGATAGTAATTAAGCGGAAAGCATGATCCCGAATAATTTCTATCCGCTCGATGACGATAACAGGTCGAGGGAGGCCAATTCAGTCGCGAGCATAACATATCTACGGGTCCGCTGCCAATCGTCCGTACATAATTGGATATAGAATCGTGCGGCCTTTACTCGCATACGCTATTCCCTCCGCGACGTGCCCTCGTCCCGGGTTAGGAATGTAATTAGTCAGACGGGCACCGGGCACAATCTTGGCCGCCGATCGGTAAGTCCCTTCGTTACTGATGATGCCTGCGCGATGCCCCCGAGAATCCCGAGATTACCCCGCGTACCGAGATCGAGCGATTACCAGTCGTAAATACGCGCGCGATAATTAAAATTACTTACTGATTGCCTCGTCGAATTTTGCGCTTATGCGAAACGTTTCGGCCTAGCAGGTGCCGATTGTCGCGGAAAGTGAACGCCGCCGTTGTGCTTCTTATCACCTCTGAGCCTCGTATTTTGTAGCCTGTAAAAATTTCTCGTTATAGCAAAATATCGCATACCGTTATTTTTATATAGCAAGGAGATCTAAAGTGCTGTCGTTACGACGCGGAGCTATTTGTGTTGTAGGCATTGAAAGAAAAGTTGAGAATAACATATACCTACTTCCATCGACTTTTCTCCCCACAATATCTAGTATTTTTGTCTGTGTTTTACATCGTAATTTATATCTTCGCTTACTCTATACACTCTGGTGTTATCGCTCGATAGTGATTTTCATGATTTTATAAAATCGAAAACGAAGGTAAAATGCAATTTTTTGGTAAGTTTTGCATGTAAAATTGTTTTTTTTTTTTTAATTGTTCCGAAGAGAAGCTTCTTTTTCCGTTTTTTTTTTTTTTTTTTTTTTTTTTTCTATGAAAATGTATCACACTTAATTATTATGCACAGCTATAAATTGTTTCTTGAAGATATATTATACTTGAGAAAAGTTGCAAGCTCTGGCATGTAGTAGTCGAAAAGAAAAGTGAGAAATGGGCTTGCTCGAAAAGGTCAGCTTCATATAGAGAAGAGGATGTGCGATAGGTATACACAGCGGGGGACGCAGACGGGATTACGTTAAACATCGTTTCGCGAGGAATCGTCGGTAGGTACCGATCCTGCTGTCGTCCCCCATATTTCGCGCACGTTCCCCTGTAACAATAAGAACGGGTTCGCGGGCGATCTCAGAATTCTCGCGTCCCGGGTCGCGCCGGTGGCTTCTCTCGTGACTCTGCACGCTCGCAACACGATGTTGTGTTATTCAAATGGACTCGAAAGAGAGAAATAAAGAATAAGCTTCCTTCTTGTAAAAGCGTTCCGATACTATCTCGGGCTACCACTATCGCGCGTGTATATCTAATGTGTCAGTGAGGTCCTGTCTGTTTCTCTTCTTTTTAGTATCTGTCGCTCGATACCTTCATAAAACGAATGATATCGCGTATTGGAAAGAGAAAGAAGGGAAGAGAGGAGAACAGAGAAGGCAATTTTAGGTAACATTTTTCGAATAAAGTACTCCTGTTATTGGCATAAAATCTGTGAGTAAAAGTTATTAAAAGTGAGGATTTTATGATATTTGTTGACAGTAAATATCCTGTGCGAAAGAGAGAAGGAGGGTGTTTATATTTGAATTAATTCGAAAAATATTAAAGAAGCTGCCTCATATGAGAAACTACATACTATTTTCTCTTCTTGCAATCTCTGTTTGAAATTTTAATTATAACTTGCAAATTATTGACGAGATAAAAAATTTTACCGTATAAAATATTGATATATTGTAGGAGAGATTATTCGATGAATTTCTGTTATTGAAATGAGATCAGTGATCCTGGGACGTATTCAGAGAACATAACCAATCGGAATCATAGCGGGGAACAATATCGGGGCGAACGAGCCACGCAAATCGTATAGTGATGTGCAAATCGCAGCGATGCGCAAATCGCAGCGAGGCGCGGCAAGGCGCGATATTATCATGGTATTTTCTGCCGTGTCATTCGGCCCGGTAGGCCTTTACTAGCCATCTTATTACTTGCACAGCGGAGCGAAATTATAGATCCTCCAAAGTGCAAGAGGGCGATTATACCATTATATGCGCGCGCGCTCTCGTCTCGGGTGTAGGTATGCAGTACGTACATGGATAACGGTAACGCCGATCGTCTTGTCAGCTGACCTTAGAAATATACGTACGCGAGGTATATGTACGTGCGATATGTCCGTGGTGGCTGCCATCCGTGCTCCACCACGCCCAGTCGGAGGAAAGGAGCACGCCAGCATCATGTTTCGTGCCAAGATAACATCGATGTAGATTATCTACGGATGCAAACTTTTTCCGGTTCAAATATAGCATACGGTATTTTGGTTCTATCAAAAATAAGACTAATTCGATAAAATATATTAAAAAAAAAAAACATTTCTGAACATCCCCCCTGCAAGAGAAATGAGTCAATTATGGATCTTTTAAATTGATTTGATTTTTTTTTTCTCCACAAAAACGCCGAATTTGAAACATTTATATATGAAAGCTCTTGATCGCAAGTAAAACTGAATCTGCGCGTAGACCGTTAGAGTTGTGAACAAATCACACTTGATATTGATCTCTTATCTTTTATGCGTTTAATTAAATAAATTTAACGTACAATTTTGCATCGCGAGATCTACTTTGATAAACATTCTCCGTAATTAAATTATTCTTTTGTACACAGTAAGTTAACATAAAGGCCGACGATCCTCGCAGCTAGAAGACGAGCAAAAACTCGTGATAGTTTTGTCGGTGAACGCGTTGCGTATGCACGTTGGCTCGTGGACCACGCTCGTGTACCACGCCTTCGTCAAGGAAAGGCGCACCGCATGATTCTACGGTTCTATACCGGTATTGAGATAGTATCGGTCGGCATGGATTGCGCTTAGGCCGCCTAGGAGTCCGGCTTTAATAGCCTGCAGCCATGGCAATCGGCCAGAAATCGCTCGTACCTCAACTCGTTGTGTTTTCGCATTCGCGCACGCGTATGTGTATTTATGTGCGTGCCATGTGTGTGTGTACGTGCATGTTATACGTCTATCGTGCACGAGAGAGAACGTTTCCTGGAGCAAAGTTTTCAGGTCAGAGAAAAAGACCAATCGGCAGGAGATACCTTTCTTGACGCCGTGCACGGTTTTTTAAATTCATCTTTTACGTCACTGTGTCTATAATAAACGAATCTTCGTAGCGTCATTAATTTCTTCGAATCATAATTGCTGATTAGATTATACGATGGTCGTTTGAGCTCGACTAATGAAGTCGTGGATAGTTTAAATTCATGATTTTTTTTTCGAAGCGACAGTCGGAAGCCATAATCGAGTCCCATAGCGGGAAATAAATTGTTGAAATATCATGGCTCCGTTGTGATTTGTTGCTTCGAAGTAGCGTGACATCCTACGATACGTCAAGATGTAATCTATCCCGGTCCCTAATTCTCATCAAAAGCGAGTCCTTATAGTTCATCCTTAATCGGTTAATAACAGCCGTCGAACGCGGTTGATGTATGCCGACGATCGATCATTTGGGTCTGATCCCGGATCGATGTATCGTATAATTACGACGACGGCTCCCGCGATTTCTAGCCAACCTGTCCGTTAAATCTCTCGCTAAACCGTTCCTTCTTCTATGTGTTTCAGCAAAAGGTGAAATTTTGGTTCGCCACGGGCGGCGCCGGATTCTGCATCAGTCGAGCGTTGGCATTGAAGATGACGCCGGTTGCTGGGTGAGTTTCTTTCCTCCTCGTTTTATTTCTGTTTCATATGAAAAGCGAACTATTTTAGTTTATTGTTAATTTCGTTGTAAAGAATGCAATCAAAATAATATCCTACCTACAATACTTAAAAATTCAATTGAAATTTCGTTATAGTAACAAAATTTTTGTTTTTATTCTAATTGTATGTAACGTTAATTATCCGATTTATCTACTGAAAGTTTGATATTATTTTGTAATCACTATATGAGATAACTGATCACATAGTTTCAAATTTATAAACTCTTTCTCTCTCTCTCTCTCTATCTCTCTTTTCCAAATCTCTTTACGGCAGGTGGTTTTTATCATAGAGTAGAAATCTCCATAGAATGTGATTAGTCACGCATGACACATGTGACACGTGTTACCGCCGCACATCGCGGTAGTTCTTTCAGGATTTAATGTAACGTGAAAATGCATATTAACGATCACGTTCCCCTCGAATACTATCTCATCTCTTTTTCTATATGCTATCCATTTATCCACGTGTCTACCTGCGGAGGATTAAATAACGCCGGCGGCTTTGCCTAGTCACGCTTACTTCAATCGATCGATCGATCGATCGGTGCTATCTATTACGATAACGCTGATACAAACGTTATAGCTGATAATTGCACATATAGTTTCTTTCTCTCGTAATAGTCGTTACGCTTCGCAGAAAACTGCGCGCTAGTTATTGAAGCGTATAGTGATATAAATCAAAAATCGTCGATCGTTATCACAAAAATTGTAACGATGGATAATTATGTGTATATCGACGTTGCCCTCAATAAATGCATCGATAGGTACTACGGTTAGCACGTATAACGTTTATATGCCTCGTGCGTGATCATTATGGTGATCGCCGACGGGAGGTCGAAAGCGTTTGCGCACTTATATGTGTTGCGTACTCGTAAATCGTCGTTTATAGCGTACATGCAGTGACCAATTGTTTATTCTTGGACCTTGATAGCGTTATGAGCGAACCTGCTTGTTGCCATATTAATTACATAAAAATATAGAGGGCCATCTTGTACGATCCAGTTTTACACGGTGACTACATTTTACGCTCGCCGTCGTAAATCCGAAGCTTAATTTTCGCGGCCTTTCATAAAATCTCTTCATTTGGTCATCGATTTGATCGGTTTATACAGAGCTCATACTCCTCCGCCTTTTCTTCCTCGCGTTCATCTTCGTCCCCAGCCTCCTTGTACGGGATTCGGTGGCAGAACGAACGCGAGGATGAACGCGAATGTGTCTGACAAAAAAGCCAGCCTGGGAGGGCTTGCGAATTAGTTGTACCTCCTTTTTTCTCGTTTTTTTTTTCCCTCACTCTAACTTCGTCACGCTCTTCCGTCCATTCTGCGATACAGGGAAAGAGGACACGGGGCAAGTACATCGAACGGCTTTCTCATTCAGAGCCGGCGGACGATTCTCTCGTCGACATTATTTTATTTCGCCGGACGTAATCCGCGGCGGTATTACACTTTATCTGCTTTTACAATTTATCGCGACTAAACGTCGATGACAGTTCATAATTTATTATATTTATATCGATATAATTTTCCACTCTTTTGTCGCTTTTAGGTATTATGACAGTAATCTCACTTTTTTGTTTCGACGATGCTTGCGGTAACCGCAAGAAGAGGTGAAACTTTGTTGCCAGTCGCGCGTGAATTATATCTCATGAAATTTCCATATTTTTCCGCTCTGACTCGCGAGCGAAATACTCGCGATGCTTGAATAAGTTTGCCGGTCATTTAAGGCATCTCCGATGAGCCGTGTTTTACGTTTTACGTTACTTTTATATTATTTCAGACGTCATCAGGATAATACCAAGGCGACAGTAAGTACAGCCGGTAATCCCACTTATATCTTTCTTTCCGAGAACGGCACAATTACGTTCGTGCATTTTAATTTATTCTGCTCAAGATGCGCTATGCGCTATGCTTTTTCGCATTTAAGAAAGTAACAGATATCACGTTGCCACTTTTCATTTTGGACGAGTGAACATTCTTTGTTCGAGTAGCTCTGTGAAAAGAAAAATGCTTTTAGCTCTTTTTCACGTGCTTTTCTTTCAACCAACGGCTATTTAGGATTTTATTTCGTTGTTAACAGGCTAGAAAGAAAGAAAACCGCTCTTAGCTTTTCTTTTCTACTATCTCGCTGAGAGCGCACGATACAATCGCTCTCGTGTTTCATTCTCTTCCACTTTTATCATCTCAGATCTTTGAACAGAATCTTTTTGAAACAAAACTGTTAGTAAATCGACTTATGCTCACGTTGGAATTTTTCTTTTTTAATTTTTATCATTGAATCAAATGTTCCGTTAATATGCTATAATTTATTGAAAATTTCTAACACATTTAATTTTATTTATACTTGCAGAAATTGCGCTTCTTATTTTACATTATATAAAAATAACTTTTTCATATACAAAAATTGATACGTTCGTAAAAATAAAGACTCTAGCATAGGAGATTCGTTCCATGAGATCAAGGTATTTTAGTTGTTTATACATATTTGAAGTTTTTATTTTTTTTTTTAGAGGACTTTTTGGCTGCGGTACAAAGTAAAATTTTTGCGATTGCCTAAAAATTGTGTACTTCCATATAAAATTGGAAGTCATTAAAACTTTTTCCTTTTTTCTAATAATTTTATCTTTAATTATTTGACCATTTAATTTCTGTTTTTTCTGAGGATTGTTAGGTATTTTTCGAAAAATGTATTATTATCCTTCTAGATATAGGATTGTTTCTTGTGTATAATCAATTATTATGGTCGGCTGAACAGGTTGTCCTTCGACTTACATGAATTCTCACGTTCGTTATAAGATCCACTTGAAGTTCTAGTGGACGTTCCATTCACTGTTTTTGAATTCACATCCTGTTAGTTCTAATTCTACCATTTCTTTATAGGGTTGATATTGTGATAAATATATGTATATAAATATGTGTATGATTAATGAAAAAATCGAGTAAATCAATAAAAACTTAATTATTATTATTGTTTACAATAATTAATTTCAATAATACATTTTTTAAGAAAAATTTTTACACAAAAATACTTAATATATAATTCAATTATTTTATTTTAAATTATTTCAATAAAAAATTTGCTTAAGCTGTTTGTAAGATTTCATGTTAACGTAAGGAATAATTTCCTTTTTTTTATTGTCCATTTGAGTTATGTCGAACAATTCTTTAAGTAACTGCACTGTCGTAAAACACGTAATGTGAGGCAGAGACGAAGTAATTTTTGAAGAGACTATAAGAAATATTATATCAAAAAATATCTTTTTCAAATTGCATTTTTATTGTTATGACATAGTGATTATTTGTGCGTGAGGCATTAAAATTTGAATTTACTGTAATTATACTACTCTTTAATCTCTGTTGAGAAAATGCAATAAATCCGAATCTGAAGCAGCTCTGCTGTTAGCTACTAATCGAGCAACGAAAGGGGATAATGGTCAGTTATCTCATGGCTCTCGCGAAAATAGATCTTAATTAACAGCGAACGCAAGAAGTCGCCGTTTGTTACAACGGACTGGTGAGACGAACGGGTTGATTACCACCCACGTGCAGATGCGGGGAAATGCAGCAGGAAGGCACGTTGCGTACGCCCGCTCTTATGCGTATACCTATATTTACATCATTTCCTTGTTAGCACGGAGTGCGCACGCGGAAAGAGGAGGTTGAAGGAGGAAGAGGGCAATAAATAAGAGAGATTAGAGCACAAGGAGACGATAAATGCGCTATATGTCTGTGACAGTTCCAGTTAGCTGCATGCATTTTATAAGATACAGAACCAATGAATATCGTTATATTTTTACTATCAAAATTTAAATAGTTTAAGAAATAAATTTTTATTATGCAATAATTAATATTAAAAAATTCAAAAGTTTTGTTTTAAATTTTTTGATAACGTAAAATTAATGAAAAAAATTGTTTTTTTCAATTTTAATTTTATTTTAACTTTTATTTATTTATGTACGTATGTAGGTATATATATGTGTATATAATAATATATCTCTTTTATGCATGAAAATTTAATTTTAAATAATATTTCTCTTTCTCTCTCAGTTTATGATCAATAACTGCATCCCATAAAAGATTAGATAAGAAAAAAGATTGATATTTTTTTTTAACAAAAATTTTACATTATAGTTATCGTCTCTTTAAAACTAAGAGAGAGACAGAGAGAGGAGACTATAATTCTGAAACATTCTATGTACACGGATTCTAACTCGTACTTCCTCGTCTTATTATTTCTTATCGTTTGCATACTTTATCTTCTCATCAGAAATTATGGGAAAAAATGAGAGCAAGAAAACTAAAAATTATCTTTTCCTTCCTAACTTTATGAGCTTTGTGCCTATCAATTATAATGTTAACATACCGAGGAAAATTGCGCAGACGAAGTAAAAATCGAAGCGCAACATAAAACGTCAACACCCTGTACTGATCACCAGTGTAATTACGATAAGGTGGGATCGTTGCTCCAAAGACCTGTTTGTTAAATCATCTTTTTAAAGAAAAACGCGATAACATGAGTAAGCTGCATTTTTCACACTATTATAAGAAATAAGTCATTGAAATTGTGCTGAATTTATTTCGAGAGAGATATTCAGTTATTACATATATCAATCTGCGGTAGTTTTGAAAACATTAGTATTATAGTTTATGTCTTCTCTGTCTGTTGACTTTACGGCTTCGCTTTTCTTCTTATTTTCTCTTTTCCGTTTTGTTCGATGCTTGTATATTGTATATGCGTGTATACCTGTTCGTCGAGCATTTTTATTACCTTTAAAAACCTGAAGGTGTACACCTGCGAGTGAGCGCTTAGTTTCGCTCGCCGACAGCTTCCTCCTTTGAATTCGTCGGATTTCGGCTTGATCGTAAACGGTTGCTGTAAGATCTTTGGGAGATTTCTTCCAACGATGACACGCAAAATCAGATTCGGGAATTATAGGACTCGCAATTTGCCGCTTA